AAAACCCTGTGCATGTTTTAGACCTTGAACTTAAGCAGCACAAACTCTTGAATGGGGAGTAACACCTCTTACAACTTTTTGCAACTTATTAACTAGGAATATCCAACTATACTGACAATCAGCAGTGATGTGACACCTTAAATATGACTCATGCAAGATCCATTCTGCACTGCCTTCATACATTATCCAAGTTTCCAATGTACTTTTCATACACTTCACTTACCACCCAAGTATAGAGCTCCTTTTCCACTGTAACCACTGCAAAATGGGTGTTTCCTGCACAGACCTGTCGTGCACTGCAGCCACTTTTAATGGCATCCAGCTTCTGAGGGGATGACTTCCCACCCCCCCAGACATATACTTCACTCGTGCGTGATGTCACCACAGCAATAGGAGCCTCGTTCATGGTGCTTGTTCTGTAAAACATGAGGTCAGTATGGAGTTATGAAGAGTCACCACTGTTTAGCATGAGTAGCTTTAGAAGCCCTGAAATAGAAGACAAGCTGGAAGAAAATTAAATTCCTAGGTTCCAGGCAGAAACATTTTATATAAGCCTTAGTGGTACTCGTGTTGTTCAGAAGCCACATAAACAGCATTAGGAATTTAAAGGTAGGGAACCTAGGGATAGATAAACAAAGGTTGAAGAAGATTGCTCCAATCTGCATACAAATAAAGATCAGAATCCAATTTGATGACTCGAGCAAGGCTTTTGAATTTCCAGAAACAGTAGCATGAGCGAAGCTTCACAGTTAAAAATGGCAAAAAAATATGCAAACACTTCAGCAACTTTTTTTAGAACATCAACATTTTGTTACACGCAAATTTACAGCATTCCATGAAGGAATGGCTTTTATCTTAAGGAGAAAAAAATGTAGTAGTATCAGCAATGCAGTATTTTTAAGTGCAGTTTGGTGTCAAGTCAATAGGTGGCATACAACTAAACAGTTTCGCTAGCTGCGCACAAGGACTTTTAGCTGCACAATGGAATTTCCCCACCTTCTCCTTGTGCATCCCCTGAACAGATTTAAGTGTCACAACAGGAAGAGTTGTGGGCAGGTAAGTTCCACTGCGCAGCTAACTCCATGCGTTAGCAGAACTGCTTAGTTGGATGCTGTCCAAATCAAATCTGTAGAGAAGAATGGGCACAGTTTACAACAAGAGTGGAAGCTGCCTTCTTCCCTTTTGGAACTCAAGGCAGTGTACACATTGTACCCAGGTGGTCTCCCATCTAGGTGCAGACCAGACTCAGACCCGCTTAGCTTCAGCAAGGTGGTAGCCTCATGCATTACCTAAAAGATAACATTGAAAGAAGCAATCACGTAAGGGTGAGTACGTCTAGGGACCTATTTCCTTTAATTCCGCTGTACAACACACACTCCATTACCTTGGTCGTTTGTTTGGGCCATTAAGCAGCACAACTTTCTCTTCCATCTCCCTGCCATGAAAAAAAAAAGCAATAAGAAGAATAGCAACCACCTGTTATTACAGCACTTCTGACAGGGGATTCCAATAGGCTTAACAGACACTAAATGCCATGCAGAAGAATCCTACCTAATCCTACTAGATGGCCCTCAGGGTCCCTTCCAATGCTATGATTCTAAGATGTGCCTCATCAGTCAATGGCCAAAGTGAATGAATGTGGGATGCATTGACATGACTAGTAGGCTGTACAAGATTCTGCAGCTCTCTCCCAAACAACACGGCCTGTTCATGTCCAAGGAATGTACAACTCTTTACCTCCTGTGCTTGCTGATAAGGGGAGTCTCAAGCAGCTCATCAGCAGTCGGCCTCTTCTCAGGATCCTGAAAGAGGTGAGTGACAGGTCACTCCCTAAGGAAAGGGATCATTTTTCAACAATTAAGTCTCAGGGCAGATTAACTAACCACATTCTTATGGTCTTTACCCATTTCCCCAAAACACAGAGAATCAAAGGAATATTAAAGTTAGCAGAAAGTGTCAAGTTAAAGGCCACTGTAGACTCTTCACTTCAAATGCAAAGGTATTTTAACAGTTTCTAAGCTGCTGCAGATCTTGGGCAGCCAAGAACACACATTCTGCAGAGCCCATACACAAGGATGCCCAGAAGCTTACATATCCAGTCTTGTAATTAATACAAGGCATTTACCCCACTTTCCTCTGAAGTTGTGTCACTGAGGCAGCAAAGTTGAAAGAAAACTGTATCTCACCAACCTGATCAAGGCAGGAGTGGACCATGTGGATGAGGTCCAGAGAATAAACACTGGAATCTACCTCCATTGCTCGGTTCCCTTGCACAATCTTCAAACAGAGGTTCAAGGGATTCTAGAAGGGAAATAGTGTGATCATTCAAGTGCATCTGGAGACCCTGTTTAAGAAGATGTCCTGTGGATCTGCATTATATTCTCTCTCTCTCTGATTGTTTCAGATGTTACGTACTATTGGAACATAGCTCAGTGGCAGAACATTTAGTTTTCATGCAAAAAGTTCTAGATTCAATTCAAGCATCTCCAGGTAAGGCTGGAAGAGACTTCTACCTGAAACCCTAGACAACCACTTTCAGGCAGCATAGAAAATACCAAGCTACATATAGCAACTTTATGATTCAGTAGAAGACAGCTTCCTATACACTTTCCAGATAGACTCAGAACATCAGCAAGGGACAATTTACCGGGTGATAGCCAAGTCAGTCATATTCAGAACCACTTAAATCAATGGATTTGTTATTTGGGTCCATCAATTTCAGTGGGTCTAATTCAAGCATGATAATCATCCCTGAACAGGAGATACCCAACTGACCTACAGCTCTCACTGTAACACATTCTTCACAACTGGGGGCTCCCTCTCGCTCTCTCAAGCACAGACAGAACATTAAAAATGACTAAAGGAAATTATGTAGCGTTAGTGACCAGCATAGGTGTGACTTACTGTTGCATCAAAAGTTCTTTTCAGTGTGAGGAGCTCAAAGGCAACACAACCAACTGCCCAGATATCAGATTTGAAGTTGTATTTTACTCCCTGGCAGAGCTCTGGAGACATGTAGTACGGGGTTCCTACCAACTACACAACAGAGCAAAAATGTTAGAGATAGTCTGCCCAACTCCTTGATACCAGTAGATCAGACACAGTTCATTGTTTTCCCTGCAAGTGCTAATTTCTAGTCATTTTATATAAGAACACCCATCTCCCAAACATGCTTATATTGTGTTTCAGCATGCAAAGTAAAAACTTAAATACTGGATTATAAGACCTATTGTCTTTCTGGGCTGGCCCAAGACTGTTTTGTCACTAAAGGCAGAACAGAAAATGCCACTCCAACCCTCCCACTGCCTCTGCTGCCTGCATGCCCACGCCACCTGCTTCTGGGTGACAAACAGGTGCAGCAGCAACAGCAAGACTGCATAGCTGTGGGCATGCAGAGGAGAAAGAGGCAGTAGTGGTAACTTACAAGAATGCTCCACGGAGGCTGGATCTGCTGCCCTTCCCAACTGAAGGGTTGCAAATCTGAATGAATACATATTTGCTAATGGCAGGTTACAAAGTAACAGGATATATTATATTTCTAACAAGACAATTCAGAAGTGTAGGAAAAGAAGCAAACAGCATTAAGTGGCATCAAAGGACCCCAAGCTCCTGATTTGTGCACAAAATCCCAGACAGGTACAGGTAAATTAGTCTATCGAAACATTAAAGTTTCAGACACTCACTGTTTCAGCCATCGAATATTCAGAGTTCAGCTTTTTCGCCAAACCATAGTCACCCAGTTTTATAAGATTTGCTTTAGTGAGGAAGATATTCAGTGTCTTTATATCTCTAGAAAAAGAAGCATTAAAGTGATGTAGTTCTTCCAGTCACCAGGTATAGGACTCAGTATGCTGCTATTCCTCCTCTATTAATGTTACTGTGAAAGGATTTAACTCATTCCTCTCCACACCTGATGTCACAGATTTTCGTAGCCCTACAACAACTGGTGGTACCAAGGTTGAGGAAGACTGCACTAGGGTATTAAGTTATCTGTAGTATAAGATATCCAATTTCTGTGCTAAGAAGAGTGAAGCAAATCAGATTGCTTCCCTTTACTCTACTTTTAGGATGGTGTCCAATGCACTTGTTCCATTAGCACAAGGATTTCCATTTGCGTAACAGAACTCCCTGCCCCACACATGCACCCAGTGCCCTCCCCAATCTGCTCCAGTGGGTTGGAGGAACCCACAGATTTAGGGAGCATGTGGGAGGCTCACATGGACAGCTGGGGAAGTTTCACTGATAGAACAAGCATATTGAATACCGCCCACAATTTGTTATGATAAATATTTATTCCCTGTCATCATATCAAATGCCCTAAGCAGTTAACAACAATAAAAGTACCAATTAGAATAAAATACCAAGTAAAATAAAATGCTATTAGTAAAATATTTAAAAATAACAACAGACAATTTAAAAAGGAACCACTGTAGATGCTCAAAAAATGCAACAAGGGGAAAACTAACTAAAATGGTATTTGCAGCAGCAGGCTATCAATACTCTCAAGCATGTTTTACCTTCAGCCACTAGGCCACAAGTTAGCCCAAGCTTCATTAATCACACCTACTGTATTTTTCGTTCTATAGGATGCACATTTTCCCCTCCAAAAATTAAGGGGAAATGTGTGTGCGTCCTATAGAGCGAATGCAGGCTGCGCCACTAAGCCCAAAGCCAGAACAGGAAGACGGAGCACTGCGGAGCGCTCCGTCTCACTGTTCTAGCTTGGGGATGGCTGCGCGCAAACCTCTGCCAGGCAGCGGGGTGCCTTCACCCCGCTGTCCTGCAGAGGCTAGCAAGGCTGTTTCCAAGCCAGAACAGCGAGACGGAGGGCTCCGTCTTCGCTGTCATAGCTTGGGGACGGCTGCGCGCAAGCCTCTCCAGGGCAGCGGGGTGCCTTCACCCTGCTGTCCTGCAGAGGCTAGCAAGGCTGTTCCCAAGCCAGAACAGCGAGACGGGAGGGCTCCGTCTCGCTGTTCTAGCTTGGGGATGGCTGCGCGCAAACCTCTGCAGGGCAGCGGGGCGCTGCGCTCCAAAGGCTTCAGGGATCTTTGAGGCTGGCGGTGGGGGAAAGCAGCGCTTCCCCCACCGCCAGCCCCACAAGCTCTGGTGAATGTACCTTGAACACACCTTGTTTTAGAGGGGGAGAACAAGAAAAAAAATTTCCCCTGTTCTCCCCCTCCTATGGTCCGGTGCGTCCTATGGAGCGAAAAATACGGTACCTGTGAAGGATTCCTTCCCTGTGGATGCAGCTCACTGCTGATGCAATCTGAAATAGGTACCACACTACCATCTGCAAAGAAAGAGAGTTCACATGGGAAAACACTGCAGGAAGTTTATTTTAGAAAGATAATTTTATTTTTCCAATATGAACAACTCAGTGTTGAGATATTTTTCAAGGTGTAATCTTTCCAGGATAACATGGTCTCCATGGTGTAAGATGACAAAGTGCTTGTCTCTTCACGATATAGTTTTATTCCAGCAAATGAAAATGTTTAATTGTAAAGGCTACTGCCCAGAATCTGTCAGTTACAAACACTTGTTATATGCTTTTGAGTTTAGTTTTAGCTTTTTTTAATTGTTTTAATATGATGGTTTTTAGAATGCTTTAAATCATTTTGAGCACTAATTCTAGATGCACTTACTAGCCCAACTGAACACTTACTACTGGGGACTTACTTACTACTGAATAAACATGCAAAGTATTGCATTGTCAACTGCTGTAAAGATGACTAACAAATTTATAAATAAAAAAAATAAAAAATCAGTAATTGCATGTATTATTCTACTTACCAAATTTAAGAATTAGATTAAGGATATTGAAGAATGTAAATACTTTTGTTCCTTTTAAAAAATATAGAATGGAAGAGCAAGTTTGGAATTCTAAGCATACTGGCAGGAATAACCAGTTTCTACATTAGAGTTTGCTATCCTATGATTTGCTGTTTAATTGTAGTCATGCAGATTCTTAAATCTCTTAATAATAAGCCAAGGGCAAACCTACAGAAAACTAGTAATAATAGCTAACCACAGTTAGGCTGCAATCCTATATATACTTACCTGGCAGTAAGGGCCACCAAACACAGTAGGTTTAATGCTGAGTAAACATGCACAGGGATTGCTTTGCATGAGACTCCTACAGATAGACACTTACTGCACTACTTACAAGCCATGTTTAGAAATATGGGCTGAACATCAGGCCAAAATAAAAAACTAAAAAAAGATGAAGACTGTGAAATCACAGAACTAATGACCATGGCATGGCAACCCCTCTGCCTCCTCCCATGTGTACTTTCCCATTCCACAAGGTCCTTAAGAACAACCCTGTTCTTCATGCCCTCATTTACTAAGACGAGTACCATTAGAGAAAGGAGTAAAATCTTTACAAAGGTTGTGTTTACACCCTGGAGCTCCCTTCCCAAGTATGGCTTGCTCCCTAACTGTACTCTTGTCATACAGTGAAGAATAGTCCTGCTGCTAAAGAACTTTTTTCACTGCATTTCTGCTGCTCACTTTTCTATGCTATTTTTAATTGTTCTCAAGATTACACTGACTGTTTAATTAACTATTTTATTTTTAAAAAGACTTAATCTTTTTATTTATTTACAAATAAAATGTAACATTCTACAAGATTATCTGTAAATTAATGAACAATCCCAGAAGAATACCATTCCATGGGGACAGGGAACAAAAGACCTGGACACCACTGAAACCCAAGTACAGTGGTACCTCGGGTTACAGACGCTTCAGGTTACAGACTCCGCTAACCCAGAAATAGTACCTTGGTTAAGAACTTTGCTTCAGGATGAGAACAGAAATCGTGCTCTGGCGGCGCGGCAGCAGCAGGAGGCCCCATTAGCTAAAGTGGTGCTTCAGGTTAAGAACAGTTTCAGGTTAAGTAGAGACCTCCGGAACGAATTAAGTACTTAACCCGAGGTACCACTGTAACATCTTTATTCTTGCTACGTGATCAACAACGAAGGATCAAAGTGTTCTGTTCAGGACTGGAACACCAAAAAAAGGCTAATTGTTTCCTGGCACAAGTGATGCAATTTGCTAATACTATAGCAATAAGCATGAAATAAACACTGGGAAAATGCAGCACATCAAACAGTACTAAACTCTGTTCTGTTACTTCTCAGTTTGTTCAAGTTACCTCTTCCTCAAACAACTTGTCCTTCTGCCGCAGGATCTTATCATAGAGATTTCCCCCTGCAATTAAAAGAGAGAAATGCTTACCTATTGCTTACCTATCGACTGTAAATGTTCTATTAGCATTTACCAGAAGTCCTCCAGGAATTTGCCATTTCCCCAAGCTTTTTCATTATTATAATTATAACCTGCTCTTTACCCTAAGCATCCCAAGGCAGGTTACAACAATCGAAATGCAGTTTAAAAGTAATTAAGAACTTATAATTAAAAAATACAATCATAATATTTTCTTTTTTTTAAGGGTGGGTTCTGAAAATGCACATCTCAGGTGTCAAAGGCCAAGGCAAAGAAGTGTGTATTTCTTATTTGCTGAAAGCTGTATAATGAAGTTGCTAGATGCACCTCTGTGGGGAGGGAGTTCCATAACTTAGGGGCTGCCACAAATAATGCCCTCTTCCAGGCATTTATTGAGCATTTAGTGCCTCATCTTTCCTTTAGCTATTTCTGCTTCCCAAGTTTCTTCTTCCCACAAATACATTTTAGAATATGCATCTGCGAAACGTAAGTGGCAGTTCTCCAAGATGACTCTGGTTTGTGTTAGAACTGTCACTAAAGCCTGCCATCTATAAACAAGACAAAGTGATTCTGTGTTTCATCTTCCCCAACAGAACTTAAGATGGAAGAGATGCCTGCTGTTTACAAGACAAGAGTTCTCACCATTACAGTATTCCAGTTCAATCAGAAGTGTAGTGTTATCCATGAAGTGATTGTAATAGGCAATGATGTTGTCATGTTGCAAAAGTGCAAGGATAACAATCTCATTCAAAGCATCACGGCGTTCTTTTTCTGACAGTCTTGTAAGATCCACTTCCTTCCACACTACAAGTGAGTCATCCTGGAATACAAAAAAATCTAGTTAGCTAAATGCACGTTTAATTTCTTACAAGGTATCAATCTTTTTTGCATTCACTTTCAGATTTAGTCTGAAAAATTCTCTATGGGCATTTCTTTATTTCTGATGCCAAAAATCGCTATCTACAACTAACACTCTCTTCCTTTTGAATAATTATCAAATAGCATAAACTTTTCAGAAGAAATGTTATTGTTATTTCATACACAACTCCACACAAACACTGTCTAAATTCGCTAACAGGAATTGATTAGTTCATAGGACTTGTCAGATATTCCAGCAACAACATTATATTAAAAATGATATAAAAACTTGGGAGTAATTAGTATTATATCTTTGAAGCAGATTCCTGATCGTTCTATGGTTTTATCTAGCCAGACTATTAACTCCCTGAAGCTATAGCAGAATATGTGATCAGCGGCCTTCAGGTTCTCTGTAATGCCATATTAAAAATATATCGCTGACTGAACTGTGCCATCAAGTTTCCTTTTCCGCACAGGAAATGCTGGTGAACTGCCCTGAGATCTTTGAAGGGCGGTATATAAATTAAATCAATCAATAAAGAAATAATAACCTACCACTGTTAATGATGCAAAATAATTAATAAAATGGAAATGTATTAAGGGAAGAGTTTGGCTGATATGGAAAGTGACAGAAGTGGGCATTTCTACCTCAACCTCCGAAAACCACAACTACACATCTTTGGGTCCTTTAAATTAACTGGGCCCTGTTAGCCTTTTTGCTGAGGAAGCCAATGACAGATGTACCCTTTCACAATCTATATACCACTGACTAGGGCTGCCATATTTTGAAGAGCAAAAAAGAGAATGCTATGATGGCTTTTCAAAGCAAATAAATGCATTTTGTCTCAAATTTCACCCCTGAAAAAGAGGACATGTCCTGGAAAAAGAGAACACATGGCAACTCTACCACTGACTCACCCGCTCTGCAAAGATTAGTGTCTATATGGGTGCGACACTTATAACCTTGTATAAGACACTTTCCATAAAAGTTGTGCTCGTTTTTCTCTGTCTATGACTATCCTTTGTTATCAGCCTCTGTGCACTGTAAATGATATGCCTGGCATATCCTTGCAGAAATATGATGCAGCTTTACAGCTGCCTTCTTCCTCTTCCATCCTGTCATTCTTTTTATCCCTGTACAGGAAGCTGTTTGAGAGGAAATATCACCACTACATCCTTGTGCCACATTTCATTTTCAGCTACCCAAATTCCATCAGCTTCCAAGTGCCAAATTAGAACTGGGAATTAACAACTGGTATCAATGGAAGCATCTCTCCCATGCCAAACAACAGCTTCAATTTTAGTTGAGATCATGGGCCAGGAGAAAAGCGTTTACCCCTTTCCTTATGAATATCCAGATTAACCAGATGACATTTTCAGTTAAAGAATCAATCACACAACTCCGATGAGGCATTTAGCAACAAGTGTCTCGTTTAGCCCTAATTGCACCCAGTTCAAATTAATGCAACAGAAGTTCCTGGGTTTTGCTTAAGCACCCTCCTGATTTGATCAACCCCTATCAGAGAGGAATGTGTCTGGCTCTCTTCTACTTCACACTTTCCAGAATCAAGAACTGCTTTGTCATTTACCCTCCTGTGATAGCTCAGTTGGTACTGCATGAGATTCTTTATCTCAGTATTGTGGGTTCAAACCCCGCCTTGGGGAAAAGAGTCCCTGCATTGCAGGGGTTGGACTAGATGACCCCCCACCATCCCTTCCAACTTCTTGATTTCCGACGTGTTAACTTGTGTCTTCCTTTGCGAATAACCCCCCTGAAGAACTGTTCACACTTTAGCCTAAGTATTGGCGAAGACGCTACTTGGATGCATGGCCAAAGTTTGCTTGCTTGCTTGCTTTCCTGGCTGGGTCTCTGGCGTCTTTGAACATCTGCAGGATATGTCACTGACAAGGGAGGGAGGGAACCCCGAGGGGGTGGCTATCTAAGGAGCACTTCGTGCCCAATAATGCTGCCTTCCTTCGCGGGGTTAGAGCTGGGATTCAAACTACGGGGGAGGAGGGGAGCCTCTTCAGCCAACGCGCCCGGAGACGGGAGGAGGAGGAGGGAAAGAATGGCGGGGCGCGGCGGAGGCGGGCGCAGATTTACCTCGGTCCGGCGGTACAAGGTGGCCTCTCCGAAGGCACCCCGGCCCAGGACGCGGATGGGGGCATAATGCAGCTCCTCTTGCTCGCCGCCTAGGACAGGGCCAGGCCGGGGGCCGCTCCTGCCGGAAGACTCGTTGTCGAAGTCGGAGTTGATGGAGTCGCAGTGCCGCTCGTACTCGCCCAGAGACATGGCTGCTGCCTGCCCTGGGGCTGAGGAAAGGGGCGCCGAGGCTTCCCTGCCGCAGGGCTCGAGCGCCAGCCGCGGCCCCGCTGCTGCGAGGGAGAGACGGTGGGCAGCAGCAGCAGCAGCAGCAGCTTCCTGCTGTGGCCTCAGACGCTGCCGCGGATTCCACGGGGCTCCGGCAGTGCGCACGCGCGCGCCCCTCTCGCGGCCTCAGAACCAGGCGAGCAGCAGGGTCCCGTCCCCCCCCCCCCTCGGGCTGCCCCTTGCCTTCCTTCACCGGCTTCCCGGAGGCCCCGCGGGCCCCCTACGCTCCATGTTGGCGGCTTCTCCCGACCCGGAACCACTTCAAGCCCAGGCGCGGCCTCGCGGCAGGGAGGTTCGCGACAGGCCGTTGGCGAAGCAGGCGCGAGGCCGAGGGGAGAGCCACGCGGGGAGCTGGCGGGAGCAGCGCCTCAGAGGCGGCGTCTGTGCTGCGGGGTTGTCGTGTGCGCGCCTCGCTTGCATTTGAGGGACACCGTCCGCGTCCCTACCCGAGCCCCGGGAGGCAGCTCGCAATTGTCCTTGCTCTAAATAAAATGATGGGGCGGCTGTTGCTTCGCGGGGATTTGAGCCGGTTCCTCCCATGCCGCTTAGGGCTGTCCCCTTTTTGCAACAAGCGAAAGTCTCTTTTCCCCTCGAGGTGCTCGCTTGCTTCCCGGGAAAGCGCGGTCACCGACTGCCCTCCGGCGTTTTAAGCGGGTTTAAAAAAAACAACAAAAAACTAGCGTCGCTTCACCTAGTTTTGGCATTTCCCGTGACTAGAAATAAAAAGTACATTTGGCCGGTGACTTCGTTCGAAAGAATCCCGGTGTGAAGTAAACCCATTTACTACAAAAGGGTGAACAGCACGAATCATCCACAATAAGCTTCATGCTGTCGCGGTTTCCACAGCTGTTGGCAGAATATGTTCCACGAGTTTTTAGCCCTGAAGATGCTTCCGGACTCTGCATATTAGGACAGTTGCTCACGTAGGTTTTTTAGTAGTCTGCATGCACCCTTCAAATATACAGACACAAAAAGCCCTGCATGATCAACACAATCTCTCTGTGGAACCCTCCCTTCAGATGTCAAGGAGAAAAATAACTACCTAACTTTTAGGAGACCTCTGAAGGCAGCCCTGCATCGGGAAGTTTTTAACGTTTGATTTTTTTATGTTTCGATATATGCTGTAAGCCATCCAGAGTGGCTGGAGAAATTCAGCCAGATGGGCAGGGTATAAATAATAAAATTGTTATTATCTACACGTTGGTAGATAGGAAACTCCTATGTAGGTATTTGTATATGAAACAGATAATTATTAGTAAAGTGTCACCAAGGCATGCATTCTTTTTCTCTTACATGGAAGGTGAGCAACGGACTGAATATTCACTTAAACATGAAAGAATTGAGTGCTCCATTATTATCCCTCACCACTGCACACGATTCTTTATTAACATATAACTACTGGTCACTATTGAAGACAGGGTATTCAAGGTTATTAAAAACATGTTTTATTATACTATTCATATAAAAATAAGCACACACAAAGTACCTTTCATCACTATAAAAACAGAATGCAATGTTAACCTATTTCCACCTAGTTATATACCAGGAATGGGGAACCTGTAGGCCTTAAAATGTTGGCTGCCCTTCAGCCACAAGCCGGAGTGGATTTAGGGGAGCACAGCCAGTTTGGTCGCACTGGGCACAGAGCCTTGGGACACTGCAACTATGATATAGAATGGCAGGCAAGAGGCTTGTGTGTGTATGTGTATTTTGGCATCACACAGAGCACCACTGAAATTTGAGACCAAGGTGTCAATTCTAAGAGCAACGCAAGAAAAAAGCTGAGATACTGACTGTAGGAGTGAATCAGACACAAAGTTCTCAAAATCTTTTATTACTGCCCAACACCTTCTGAAAACAATAAATTTCCTGGGGGGACGGGAACCTCTTATGAACGAACCCATACCCTACAATCATAATCTGAGGCCCTTCATGTGCCACCTCAGCGAGGTCTGGAGGGTGGCAACACTGAGAATTGGCCTCTTTGGTGGCCCCCACTTGTTAAATGCCCTCTCCAGGGAGTCTCCCCTGGTGTCTTCATTACATATCTTTAGGCACCAGGCAAAAAAAAATTCCTGTTCTCCCAGGCCTTCAGCTAATTAAACAATCCATGACTTTTTAAACTGTGGTGGCAGGGGATTGAGGTTTTTTTGTCATTATGGTATGTATTTTTGTGTTTTTAATATTGTAAACTGCCCTGTGATCTTTGGATGAAGGGCAGTATAGAAATTATTATTTTTTGTTATTTTTCTGATTTATTCCAGCTGTAATCCAACAGCATCTGGAGTACCACAGGCTCCCCACTCCTGTTCTAAGTGGTCAGGATTCACATCCATTATCAGAACTAAAAGTGAACTTTAATTACGTGAACATGAGTCACTCAAAATTCAGTTTTTCATCAACACAACCTGCAATAATAAAACATCCTGCCTTTTAGACATTTGCTCACAGGACAGCTTGCTTAAAAAGATCTGATCTGATACAGCAGGGTTAACAATATATGTAAAGCAGTATCCTTAAAGGAAAGTTTGCCCCCACACAGGGTTAAATGGAACAAAAACTGAATTGAAGCATTTTCAATGTAGCAATTTACTCCCATATCAACCAGCAGTAAAGTACTTCACCTTAATTAGCTAGCCCCACTACTTCAGTGGAGAGTAAAAATATTGCAAGTACTGTACTGTTTTGTTCGCAACCTGACAGGAAGAGCAGAGGTTGCTGCTCATTGCAAAACAGCAGACCATAAAATTTAATAGCTGAGGAACTCCTACCTTTTTGTTTTCCAGAGTTAGAATAAAAGCAATATACAGAAATCACATTCTCTGGAACTTTGTTGAGGGGGGATGACTGACTCAGCACCATTTGTGTCCAAAGCCTGCAGTGCATTTGGATACACTCACTCCAGTTTCTGTATTCAGTCCTGGGAAGAAAGATGGCTGGTAAAACATCTTATCCCTATAAGGCTGGTTGGATGTTTTCAGTCCTGTGTCATTGGTGCCTCTGAGCACGCACAAAGTGCCTTTCCTAAACCACTACGAGATCCAGCATACCTTATCTGTGGAACTTGAGTCATACTCCTGTTTCAGAATATTAACTGTTAGAAAACAGCTTTGCAGCACTTACTTGAAGCAAGGGCAAGTGGACAGAGTGTGCTAACTTGAAGATGCTGGGAATTTCCCCTTCTTAAAGATCTCACATTGTACTTTCAAACTAGACTTCTTCACATCTGACTGAACAAGCCCTCGGAGGTATTTGACTCGGCACTATTCAAATATGGTAGTCTAGAGAAGGTAGCTCTAAAGCGGGCTAGTTGTAACCTGCAATGCAAGTTCTTTGTGCAATGAGACTAAACTTGATACACACAGAAGGATGGATTTCACTGACTTGCCAGTTATCAGGTTGCAAACTCCTTTGAAAACAACCTGCATTCAGATTTGTAATTTTTCACTTCAGTCAACTGTGATTGGTAGTCAGTTGAGTGATGCGAGGGGAAAACACTTTATTACCATCCTCATCTGCCATTCCCAGTCAACATCCCCATGCAGTGCACCTTGGAATGTGGTTAAGTAACACTACTTCCATCAGGGTTGAGTTCCTTCAAATGTAATAATAATAATAATAATAATAATAATAATTTATTATTTATACCCCGCCCATCTGGCTGGGTTTCCCCAGCCACTCTGGGCGGCTTCCAACTGAATATTAAAAACAGTACAGCATCAAACATTAAAAACTTCCCTAAAGAGGGCTGCCTTCAGATGACTTTTAAAAGTAAAATAGAATAATAATAATAACTAATAAATAACTAATAAATAATAATAACTAATAAATAACTGTTTTTTACCCCAAAGCAAGTGCTCTAAGATAGCATTAGAAGTGCCATGCAAGCTCTGTTTTAAGGCTGCTGTTGTTTACAGCTGAAACTAGGAAGCTTGGATACCTGGTAAACATACACCATATGAACATGGTCCGGGGGGGGGATGCACAATTGTGCTGAATTTCACACAATCCATACAGAATCAACTCCTGTTCCAAAGCAACAAGGATACAAATCAGTCCCCACTCCCTCATAAGGCTTGCTGCTAGCACAAGCACCCCAGACATCAAGCTGCTAGCATTCCTTCAGCTAATTTTATTAACTGACATATCAGATGTGCTAATTGTGTGCAATGGCTCCATCCACCAAGCCTAAGAGCAATCAGGTTTGCCGTCACTGACTTAACACACACACACACATGCTGCTCTTCCTTCAGGAAACTCAAAAAAAGTAGTTTAATAGAGAGAACATGCAGCAAGTGTTTGTTTTAGGCAGCGACTAGGCTGAGATCTGGGACGCGGGTGGCGCTGTGGGTTAAACCACAGAGCCTAGGACTAGCTGATCAGAAGATCGGCGGTTCGACTCCCCGCAACGGGGTGAGCTCCTGTTGCTCCGTTCCTGCTCCTGCCAACCTAGCAGTTTGAAAGCATGTCCAAGTGCAAGTAGATAAATAGGTACCACTCTGGCGGGAAGGTAAACAGCGTTTCCGTGCGCTGCTCTGGTTTGCCAGAAGCGGCTTAGTCATGCTGGCCACATGACCCAGAAGCTGTACGCCGGCTCCCTCGGCCAATAAAGCGAGATGAGCACCGCAACCCCCGAGTCGGCCACAACTGGACCTAATGGTCAGGGGTCCCTTTACCTTTAGGCTGAGATCTAGTAAACATGAAGAGTTTTCTGCGTTCTGATACGATTATCCAGAGAAGTCTCTTTTAGTTTTAATTAACCCTTTCAGAGATAACTGATTTATTGGCAAAGGGGCTACCATGCTTTGCTCTACAACTTGAAAACCATTTAATGTTATGAACTAGGGATGGTTGAGTTTGCTATTTGGGTCAGTATGATATTCTGGGTAAAGCTTTGAGTTTCGTTGTAGGGTTCTAGGTTCAAGTTCCTACTTAATCGTAAGCCTCTCTTGGTGGGGATGATAAATGAGGTAAGTTATTATACCTGTACACTGAAGCACAGTACAGTAATGATTCTGGTGTCTTGTAAAGATAAGACTTTCACCCAGGCCTTTTTAATCCTGACCTATAATGCTTGATCCTGTTTTTACTAGATTTCTCTTTTATTGTTTTATGCTTGCATTTTTGTACACCGCTTCGAATTAACAGTTTAGAAATGCTTTTTTCAAACAAACAAACAAACAAACAAACAAACAATCTACTTAAGTAACAGGTGCTAGAAGGAAATAACCCATTAAGTAAATTAATGCATAAGCTTTTCAAAGATTTACAGAGACACCGGACTGGAGAGCATGTCCCCCCCACAAAAACTTTTATTGAGAAAAATTGACAAATCCCCAACCCGCTTGTTACAGGTTTCCACTGCCCGTTCTACTCAGCTTCAGTTACACCACAAGTTAGAAGTGAAGCCATGTCAAGCTACACCACTAAGGTTAAAGTTTAATGGTTCTCAAGACGTCACATAACCTATCAAAAAAGGTCATTTCTCATTGGCAAAGTAGTGGCAAATTAAAATGAAAGGCCAACAGGGTACCAAAAAGATGCTTTTGCTTTGAACTGTAGAAAATTTGCTATGGGAGTCTAAAAAGAGGAGCCCAAAAGTACTCACTACATCTGTAGCACAATCTTCCAGCACAGTTTCTATTTATTAACTGTTTCCAAAGTAAAAAAAGATAAGCAGGAAAGGTCTTAAGCTCTGAATTTAAAAGCAGCACTGGACACATGAAGGCAAAACTCACAACAGTAATTTTGGGCAGTGGGAGAAGAGACATTTTACAAGTTCCAGCGTTTCTGATTGGTGTAGTTAGCTCTCAACATTTATGCTTAAGGAAATTTGCAGAAGGACATTTTCTCTCTGCCTTCTCCACTGGCCACTATCCGTATCCCCTGGTTTTTCAGTGTGGGATGGGGAGTGGGAGGGTGGCTGAGGGAGGGGAGACAAGGATGGGAAACTTCCCCTTCACAAACATCCTTAGGATTCAAAATGGATTTGGGGTGATTTCCCTGCTTCCCCTGTGTATCATCCTGTGTTGTCCAAGAGGGGGCCCCAACCCTGCCAAGGGGCTTTTTAGGGGACATAAGTGCCTGCAAAGGAAAGGAGGGGACATTAAGATTTATTTGTGAATTTAAGTTGGGACCCAAGACATTTTTTGTGATACACTGATCTGAAACTTGATATGTTTTGAGTCCGGGATGATGTATTTGTTGCTGCTATAAGCCCTGAAACTTGTAGAGCCCAGAAAAGGCACAAATGTCTTAAAAACTGAAATGACACTACAGCTCATCTACAGTTGCTCCCACTGACTCACCTGCCTGCCATTTTGCATCCAAATAACTTCCGGTTTCTTGCTGTGGGAAACGGCTGCCTCCCACACGAACGGTCCCCAGCCGTGCCAGTAATTCAGGGTTGATATGGGGGTAATTAACCCTGGCAGACTCCCCAGGGTTATATGGTGGGTTATAAGCATCTGGATATAACTTCCAAGTTCATTAAAATGCAGGTCTAAGATTGCCCCAACTTCTATCTTTGGTAAGAAGACAGGGTTTTATATCGCCCATGGGGGTGAGGGAGAAGAGACCTATCCCCTCCCCTAAGGATTAACCCAACTGTGTATTCAAGTATGCATCAAGCTGGTGCCTCTTACCATTATAAATGGCTTTTCACAGTATCCAAGGTGCTTTCAAGAACTGCTTCATTTTAGAACAAGGGAAGCAATGACTTCAGAGAATGGGATAGGATGAAAACAAGAGAATTGTAGATAAAGCCTTTCTTCTGTAATTTTAACAACACAGCTGTTATTTTCCAACTGTCCTTCCTGCTTCTACACATAAAAATATAAAATATTCTGACAGACAAATGCCACTGGCGGTTCCTTCTTCACTCCAAAAGTGTAGCTACTGATCAATTTGCAACAAGATCTGCTTCTGGGATGGTTGAATCCAAGTGGCTCCCTCTCAAAACTCTGTGGTAAAAGATAGAATGCTGAAAGTTTAACAAATTGCATGTATTCAAGTGGCTTTAGAGGATCAATCTGGTGACATATGAGAAGAGGTCAGCTGACCTCATTTGTAAGGGAGAGAAAAAGACAGCGTAAGAGCCAACCACGGCTGTCATGACAGTTTTATTTCATCCCTGTCCAAGAGTCCCCAAAATCACAACTCCCACCGTCTTCCATGTCTATCCAATAATAGTTCAGAAGCATCCTGACCGTGTTCTATACCAGCATTTCCCTCCCTCCCCCTGGGGAGCCATTGCAGAAAAAGCTCTGTTTGGCAGGTCAACCCTGAGGTGGCTCTAAACAGCCATAGTTGGGTCTCTGTTGTTCTGCTGGGGTTTAAAAGAGGGGAAACTGCCCCTATTCAATCAGCTTCTTGGCCTTGAAGAAACGACGCAAATAGAAGACCTGCCAGGTAGCCAGTCCAATGAGGCAGAACATCGAAAAAATGCTGAAGTATAGTACCCGAATGTTGGTAGATTCTGAAACGGGAAAAACAAAAAACAAAAAGCTTGTTACTCAGAACAAATGGCAATAATCCCTAAGCCAGCCCTCCAATGCTTTCAACCCCACAAACCACCTAGTATCTTTTCACCCGAAGCATTCATATAAAACTAAGTACTAGAAAGATAAGCTCTTTGAACTGTGGGCCAAGTGGATCCAAAAAAGGCTCAGCTTTCATTCTGTTAAAAAAAAGGGCAACTCAAGATCCTCTCTCATGGCTACTTAAATTTGAAAATGGTGCAGGCGGAAATTATTACCATTTCTATTACTATTATTATACAGGGGTTCTTGCGAAAGACTTTGGTGTTCACAGATGGAGCCTGTCTGCTACACAAGAATATTGGTTCCTTCACCATAGAATTTTTATACCTCTGCTGCCAACCTCTTGCCTATATCTCTATTTCTGTATCACACTTCCCACTGGAAGGGGGGGAAAGTCAAAATTCTACAAAAGCTAATCAGAGTTAAATACACACTGAAGTTGTTTATACAAATAAGTACAAAATATAATTTTGCCCATTATATTTCGCACAGAGAATTCAAATTTTCTTGGGGCCAGATAAGAACAGTCCTGGCTGCAGATGATAACAAGAAAGTAACAGAATCCCAAGTGAGTGTAAAGAGAAGGGAGTGCCATGACTCTAGTAGATTTGGTGGAAAGGGGGCTTATGAGCATAGCAGCATAACAGTTATGGTGGTGAAACATTCCAGTGAACTTAACAGTGTGTTTATAAGTTGATAGATGATGCATCAGACAGCCTTGTCTACACTATAAAGCAGGTATCAAGTAAGCATCATGGCAACATTATCCCTAACCATATGCATTAGTGAGAGAAACTTAACAACACTACTACTCCCTGAGTTGGAGTACGTACCATTGGTGTCCCGCATCTCCTCTTCCCGCTTCTTCATGTAGGCAAAGTCATTGACAATAGACTCTGAAAGATCCTCCAGGCGTCGCAGCTCCAGCTCCAGTGGCTTCAGCTTCTCTACTTTAGCAATCTGTGAAAAAGAGAGACAGAGACTGAAAATCACAGCCAGAAAAATATTGTGTTCTCATCGCTTGAAAAGAGAGTCCTGATGCAAACAGTCCTGTCTGTGGCATAGTCTCTAGCAACAAAATCAAAACCAAACTAACTAACCACTTGCACCACAGAGAATGCAAATGAAAGAATGGGGAGGGCGGAGGGAGAGCCTTGACTAGACATCCTCATCTGCTGTTCGTAACCAGGGAGGATGTCTTCTTGTTCAATTGCCTCCTTTTCAGTGCCTTGGCATGGATCTCCCCTCCTGGGTAACCTAAAATAGCAATCTGGAAGCCTTCACAGCAGATTTTTGAGGTCAACAAAGCCATAATTTTTCAGCCAACAGAATCTCCAATATCCTTAATTTCCCAGAGATGTTACGAACTTTTCCAGTGCCAAAACCAGTGACAAAGCCACCCTGATAGTTTCTTGTTTTAAAACAAGCAAGCAGTATATTAATGTTATTAAACAAACAAACAAATAAATTTTGAACACCCCCCATCTATAATTAGACACCCATATTTGCATTTCCCAGGAGGGGAGATACATGTGCAAAGGCAACCTTATAACAAGACGGTAGCCTCTCCCTATAGCAAATATGGATGTCTACCCAAGTGTTTTCAGTTCTTTCATTTGCATTCTCTGTGGTGCAAGTGTCAATTTGCTTTGCATTTTACACTACACTTTTTGACAAATTTCAAGAGGAGGTATTTCAGAGGAGCACAAAATGTTTGGTGAGAGGATTCTCATTTTGCTGCTCCACATGGACAGCACAAGAAACATTTAATAAATTTTGTAGATTAATTAAGAACAGATATGCATGCATTGCTGATGAGGAGTACACCTCTTACTTATCAAACTACAAAAGCCTGGGCAAATAAAGATGTTTTCAATCAGCATTTGAAACCTCACAATGTGGGACAGTTGCATCGCTAAGCACCATTATTCCAGAGTAGGGGACCTACTACAGAGAAGGCCCATCTATACATCCTTTTAATCTAAACCCTGGCGGGGGCAGTGAACAAACCCTACCCTACCAATCTTAAGGACTGAATTGGCTTGCATTGAATGAGGAGCTCCTGCAGGTATCTGGACCCCAAGCTTTGTAAACCATCACCTGCACTTTGAATTGAGCCTAGGAGCATATAGGGAGCCACTGCAGTGCTTTACTCCCAGCTAAATGGGTACAGGACTGCAGCCTAAGAGTAATCTGGTATCACCAGGCCCATGCAGAGCTTGTCTTAGGCCCAGGTCGGTCTTGGCATGACAGTGGCCCGTCAGGGTCCCCTGGCCCTCTTAGGCCTCCCCCAGGGCAAGTATACCTGGCTGCCCCTGTGCCTCCCACATGGGCCTGGGTACAACCCCTAATTTAAGAATCCACTTTTTTGTTGCTACAACAGAAGTAGGGAACACATTGACCTAGCCTCCTTTGCCACTACAACACTGTGAAAGAAGAAAAATGGACATACATGGTAAAAAAAATAGAGAGCATTCTGTGTTACAGATGTGGATTAATGATGGTGCCTGGCTTTGAGAATGTTGAAGGCCATTGTTCTGCATTTTTTATTTTATGTTATTGTTTTTCAAAATGTAGCAAAGTAAGTCTCTCTGAGGCTTACCTTAAACACATTTGCCCAAGTAACCTCCACTGCACACAGCTGGACTTACTTTTGAATAAGCATGGGAAGGACATCTCTTTTAACTTTTTTGCTCACATATTTCTCCAAGTTGCACCATACATCCCTGTTCAGGAAATATGCTACCAAAGGTTTAGAAAACCCGATCCCACCCTCTGATGTCTGGCCAATGAGAGTAAAGGCACTAGAATGATTCACAAGCAAGGGAAGCAGTGATTTCCTGTTTCATTTCCCTCCATTGCCTATAATAACCATTTATGGAGAAGGGCAATGTATCCGTACTTCCCTCCTTTGTCAATTATTTAAAAAATAATTTGTTCTACGTTGTCCTGATTTTTCTGACTTGTGAACAATAGTAGCGGGTGCACTGTATCCTTTTTTTCTAGTTCAGCTTGGTGGCCTCTAGGTACTTTTAAATTAACGTTTAAATAATCTTTAAAAAAATTAAATTAATAAGCATATTCATCTGTAGCACAGAAAACAAGTCTCATGTGGCCAGAAAAGCTATTTGGGAAGAGCATAGTTGGAGGAGCTATATCCGAATACAGTAATGGGTTTAACATTTCCGCAAGTTCAAACTGCAAGGGGTTTAATGTAGCTGCAGTGCAGCTGGGCAGTGACAGTTCATCACAGCAGCAGGGCACAGGAGGAGTGGGTGGAGGTGAGGAGAGGGGCAGAGCCTGAGAGGGCAGTGGGCCAGGTAGAGAAATGACATCGAGGTCACTCACCCCTGTAACAGAACAAACAATAGGACAGTAGATTTACTACAATGGTGGCTGTTCATTGCAAGGCCACAAGGGGGCAATCAAACCTTGAGAGACAGCAAACAGCAGCTTTTCATAATTTACCGGTAGCTAAATTACTGGATTAAATAATCCTCTCATGTTTTAGTTCTGAATGATAAAATCAAGGCTTAGGAAGCTACATGGCCATAACTCTACCAAGCAGAATCTGACAGTTTCAGGAGAACTTTACAAGTTCTGTCACTTTTTTGTTTGGGTTTGGTTTTTCATAAGCAAGGATGAAGAAAGAAAGAAAAAAAACCACAATGCTGTGTTTAACAAGAGAAAAATACTGAAAAGCTGGGAACAGTTTTCGCACAAAACTCAATATCCTGAAAAGTACCTCAATTCATGAGGTCAGCTATCAGCTACTAGCCTCTGCCCTCTCGCCCGTATACCTTGTCGCAGGTGCCTACTGGACTCCAATCGTCTGTTAAACCAACATCTTCTCTCATTAAGGACATGTTTTTAGGATTACATGGCTGTAAAAAGAATCTGCACTCCTGACATATGCAATCCACGCATAAGGATTGCACCGATTCTCCTGCTGTTTTCTGCTAGTCCAAAAGGACCCCCAAATCAGCACAGTACCAGACCTCTGCACTCATAATTTATTTTATTAAGTGCCCCCTCATTCCCATTTAAGTATACCAATATAAGGGAAAATAGCATTCAGAAGCACCTTGAGTCTCCCAACAACAAAAACTATATAGGTTTCTGTTTTGACTCTCTTAACAAAGCATGTCAACAAGGCATGAGAGCAATGGCCCTTCCCTGCCACTGTCTATCCCAGTATACTGCCTCTGAAGATGGGAAACTTTATTTAGTGGCCATATGTTATTAGCCATTGATAGACCTATCCATGAATGCACCCAATCAGCTGTAAAAGCTATATATGAAACAAAAAATTTCTCCCTGCGTTAAGATAATCTCTTTCTACATTGGGGAAAATTGTGAATAAAGCAACCATGAAATGTTTATTTTAGACTGCTATCATGCTCCTATCCCAGTCTGTGCAGGAAAAGAAGTGAAATTTATGAAAAGGGTCCATGGCCATCAAAAAGCAGTATAAAAAGGGAAAGGTCATACCTTAGTACTCTGAACATATGAGTTACTTTCGTCTGGATTGCATCAAATGAAACTGTCTTATCCAGTCGGATAGTACTGATCCATATAGTCCTGTATCAGGTCTCCAAGATCTCAGGCAGGAGTCTTTGCTAGTACTTCCTGCCAGAGATCCTTTTAACTGGAGATACCGATTCAAGACCCTCTGCATGCAAAGAAAATGCACTACTACTGAATTATGCATTACCCTTTGCATGCCCAAGACTGAAGTTTCAATCCCTGGCATCCCTAGAAAGACCTTTTCTGAGCTTTTAAGAGAGCCATAAATACTTGGCTAGATGGATCCGTAGTCCAACAAAGCACAAGGTAGCTTCATGCAATGTCAGCAGTGTTAGGGGCAGTATTTTTCTGAATGCTAGTTGTTTGAAACTGCAAGCTGAGGGAGTTCTGTTCAACTTGGGTCCTGCTTGCAGGCCTACCGTAGACATCTGGCTGGCCACTCTGAGAGAAAAAATGCTAGCTATCCTGTTTTCCGAATAAATTCAGCTTCATAGCTGATAAATTCCTTGCCAAGCAGCAGATTCCTAACTAAAATGTGTTTAGCAACTTCAAAAAAACTGTTCTAGATGAGCGCTTTACTCAGGGAAGCCCTAGGAATCAGGGAGACTGGGAAAACAGCATTGAACTGTGAGCCTCAAGGCCACATACAGTTGTCACGTGAGTGTCAGGAAGAGAATCAAGAGGCACAGGCAGCAAAAGCAGAGATGTACCTCCTCGTAGTTCTTTGCTTCTACTCCATGCTTCATGTTCAAGGTCACGAACTGGTCTGGCATCCGCCCTGTTCCTGGAACTGCAATGAAAGGATTCATTGTATGAAGTGCTCAGGCTGCCAGGAAATTCCCAGCCACCCGCCCCCCAATACACAGCAGGGAGGGATTTGCGGCTCTCCTCCCGTACAAGCCTCGGAACAGCTAAGGAGGCAGCCCAACTATGCCCAAAATCACAGAAAAATCTACAGATAGCATTGGCTAAGGTAGGAAGTAATGAGAACAAGCTGCAATGAAGCATGTGGAGCGTGCAAAACACCAGGCACTCTGATTTCCTGGTCTTCGTTCCACTCTCTAGCAATAAGGAAACATGGGATCAGTTTAGAGCTAGACAAGCTGGTAAGAACCAAGTGCTAATTCCAGCCAAAGAGAAAAGCGAGTATAAACCTGAAGTGGTGTATTAGACTGAACAGATGAAAAATAGTAACACAATGACCAGATTTTTCTTAAGTTAAAGTTCACCTAGCCAAATATAAAACCACTGTGGAATGGGAAATCAGAAACAACCCTTGTGGCACTGCTATAATACCTGATTGACCCCTGCCTTCCTTCTTACCTCCCTTCTCCTTATTCAAATTATTCCTCCCCAACCCCAAACTTTAAAACTGCCACAAACCTGGTTATCTAGTGAGTATAAATAGTTCCCAAGCAACCAAGTCTGGTCTAGAGGGTCTTCCCTCTGCAATTTACCCCTTGATAATCCAATTCAACCCCTGCCAATGCAGGAAATCCACTACTACAACCTCAACAGTTTCTAACTAAGGAAAGCCCACCTTCCTCTCAAGTAGTTTGTTCCAGTGCTGAAAGCCCTCCCCAGTGAGGTCCACTTGGTGCCTCTACCGACATAGTTTTGGTACCAGGTAATAAAATACATTTTTTTCTCAGACATTTGATAAGATTATGAAGATGATGCTGCGTCTGTTGTTGGTGTGCTGCCAAAGCTTCTGGCAGCTATTATTGGGTGGGTGTGTTGTTGTGTATATTTTTCATGAAATGCATGTTTCTTTCTGAATGTGTTAACATTACAATGTATTTATGTTTTTGTTTTTAAGTATGTTTCAATTTGTTTGGAACCCTCTGTGTATTAAGCAACTTACAAGTCTACTATATGATGATGATGATGATGGTAGCAGTTTATACTGTTTGGAAGTTCTTCCTAGTGTGTTTTTTTTTTAATAAAATGTTTTATTAAATTTTCTTTCAAACAGTCAGAAATTTACAGAATAAAGAAAAAAGAAAAGAGCAAAAAGAAAAAGAAATACATAAAAACCAACTTTCCAGAATATTTTTACCATTCCAACTGGACTTCCCCACATCTTCCGAACCCTGCGTTCTTTGCAATAAAAACATCAGCAATTTGTTACCTTTTTTCATGTCTTACTGTATCTTTCAAATATTATGTTTCTAAAATCAAAATACTGTGTCTCAGTTGTTTGTACCTTAAAATAAACATAATATAGTTATTTCATGTTGTCCACCTCGTCTTTCTTATAGCTTAGTTTCCAATTCACCTAATCTAGTTGCTGAAGCAAAAGTTTCCTAATCATGCACATTCTTAACATTCATACAGCTTATAATGTTTTTGCAAATAGTCCTTAAATTTTTTCCAGTCCTCCTCCATTATTTCCTCTCCCAAATCTCGGATTCTGCCAGTCATTTCAGCCAATTCCATGTAGTCCATCAACTGCGTCTGCCATTCCTCCAGCGTGGGTAAATCTTGTGTCTTCCAGTACTTTGCGATGAGGGTTCTTGCTGCTGTAGTGGCATACATAAACAAAGATCTATCCTTCTTTGACACCTTCTGGTCCACCATGCCCAGGAGGAAGGCCTCTGGATTCTTGGGAAAGGTATATCTAAATACCTTTTTTAACTCATTGTAGATCATCTATGTTAGTGGTTCTCAAAGGGTGTAGTGTGCTTACACTGGTGTGGCAGAAGAAGATGGCAATTACAAAATAGTTGTGTCCTGTGTTATAAATCAAGCACCGCTAAGAGTTGTTTCTTTTTGTTTTCCAATGTATTTCTTATCAATAAAAAACTCAGTGTGGTGTGAGCAAATTTATATTCAGAAAGTGTGGCCCAGAGAAGAAAGTTTGAGAAACACTGAACAATGTGATAGCCCTCCTCAAGTATCTGAATGGCACAATCCTTCTTACTTATCTCTTCTCAAGGCTAAACATACTTTAGTCCTTCAACCTTCCCAAAGAGGACTTTATCTCCAGGCCCCTCTTCATCTTTGCCATCGTCCTCTGGATACATTCCAGTGTGCTGATATCCTTCTTAAACTGCAGTGCCCCAAAGTACAACTATTTATCTCTTAAGAAAAAAAGGGAGGTAGAACTGCATGCATATTTTCCCTCAGGCTCTCGGTTCCTAGATAATTATGTTCTCATCACTGATAATAGGTTCTGGACCTAGCAAGGTGGACCAGATTGAAGGAGGGAAGAAAGAATATGATCATCTGCCTTAAGCTCAGAGCTATGCTGTGAACAACCCCTTTGCATGTTTACTTCAAAATAAGTCACCCCAGTTTATGGGTCTTACTCACATTCCTATAAACACTTACCTGGGAGTAAGACCCACTGATAATATTGGGACTTGCTTCCTGAATATGCATGCGTAAGAAAGCTGCATTTGTCAGCTTGGTCAGAAAAGAGAAATGTTTTGAATACACTTTTTTAATCTGGCTATTTTGGACGAAGGGGATAATTGCTTCTTACTATTTCTACTTTGAAGTAATTCTCTTTCTTTGTTAATCTGCCAATCCCAGATCAGCTGTTTTTTGACCCATTACTTTTAAGGGCATGGGATTAAAGGATTTTAAGTGGGGTTACGAAACTGTAGTTATGCCAAATGGAAGAAGTATGGCACAGTATCAATTGGGTCATGTTATGTCAGACACAGCATTACTTAAGGTAACAGATATCTTAAAACAAGCTCAGGACATAATAAAGAGCCCATGATCTAGCCAATCAGTTTGTCATTCTGGTGTTTGCATTCAGCATGACAGGCAATGAAAACACTGTGGAGAAAATAGTATGAGGCTGTTCTCCTCCTCCCCCATTTTTAAAAAATTGAGGAACTATCCCCTGTTTTGCAACATATGCAAACAGCCTGCCTCCCCCAGACTTACAAAAAAAAAGCTAGCTAACCAAACTCTCTGTCCACCAAAGAGCCCCTAGCTAGTACATGCACCTCTACTACCATGTTAGAAATTAGCCAGACACCAGGCCCATTTTGCGACGGGTGCAGGTCCTATTGTGACCACGTGGAGATCTCTGGATGCCAGGTTGGCAACTGACATCTCCATCTGGCTTTCCCTTCCAGCTTTCTTAAGCGGGTAAGCAGAAAAGCTAATTTATTGCATTTATATCCCAACCTCTTTCTCCAAGGAGTTCATGGTTCATCTCTCTCCTCAGTTAATTCCTACAACAACCCTGTGAGGTGGGTTAAGAGGCTGTAACTGGCTCAAGGTCACCTGGGGAGCTTCATGATTGGGTGGGGATTTGAACCCTGATCTCCCAGGTGCTAGTCCAACACTCTAACCACTACACCACACTGGCCTCCTAGAGTACTTCTGTAGGGTTTGCCATATGTGCCTTGAATTTTCCAGACATATTTGGAACACTGCAGCCGAGAGCAGTGTCTGGGCAGAAATTGGGGAAATGTCTGGGGAAATCGGTGGTGTCCTTTTTGCAGATTTCCCTCAGAAATAGCTCAAAAACATCCAATTTCTTTGCGATTTTGCTCAACAACTTTTCTGTCCGGATTTTCACTTTTTGAAATATGGCAACCCTAACTTCTGCTATAGGACAACTATATAAACTAAGCAGGTAAATAAATATGGAGAAAGCAAAATGTCACTTAGAGATGGATCTGAAATATTTTCCTTGAAGCTTTAATTTATTTTATTCAGGATTGTTTATTTGATGTTTTGATGTGTTGTAAACCGCTTTGCTTTGAGATTCCCCCCCCCTTTAAAATATGAAGTGGTATAGAAATGAAATAATAAGAATATGACTAAATCCCACTGGGGGAAAATGGTGCCTAGACATTCTGCTGTGGCAGCTGTAACCTAGGTTTAAGCTGCCATTTGGAGATAGCTTATACACCTGAGTTTCTAACACTGTTCTACTACTGGGATCAGATACATTAGGCTGTGGTCTCACCTCCTCCATGAAATAGGGAAGGCACCAGGTGTTGGCATTGTTGCAGTACCTTTAAGGAATGGTCACCAGCAGTTTCTGGATCCTTTCTGCCAACTTCATGCAGCCAGTGGGCAACTGCTGGTTCCCACAGGAGGAGAGAGTACTTTGGGGCTTAAATCCTGCTTGCAGGTTTACCACAGGCACCTGGTTGGCCAGAGTGAGAGGAGGAGGCTGGGCTAGATGGACTACTGGCCTAATCCAGCAGGCATTTCTTATATTCTTATATACCCACCCTTCTATGATTCTGCCAATGAAGATAGATTTATTTCAGTGTCCCAATTCACAGGTAGGTGGCAGCACAGCACAGTATATGAAATGCAATGTGGGGGTAGGGAAGAGAACTGCTCTTCTTCACTGGATAGAAACAGGAGTACTTTCCATGGTGCTGCTCCTGACAGCTTCCAAGATGCCATAAATATATGTAGTTTTCATAATGGTAAATGAGCAAGGCAGTCCCCTGCTACACATGCCACAAGAATCATTGTTTCCAGTTTTTATGCAAGCTTTGAATTTCTGCTATAGCCATGGAAACTAATTTACACAGTGAATTTGAAAAATACTAATTTCAGTGACATACCGTATTTTTCGCTATATAAGACGCACCAGACCATAAGACACGGCAAGTTTTTGGAGGAGGAAAACAAGAAAAAAAATATTCTGAATCCCAGAAGCCAGAACAGCAAGAGGGATCTGGCTTCTGGGATAGCCTCTTGCTGTTCTGGCTTCTGGGATAGCCGTGTGAAGCCTCTTCCGGGCTGCGGGAGGAAGGCTCCCCCAAGAGCCACGCTCCCTTTAAAGAGCGTGCGGAGTGTGTGTGCAGCTTTTGGGGGCTTTTCCCCGAGGAGGGAGAAGGGCAGCCAATCTAGTCCAATCTCCTGAAATGCAGGAATCACTGCTAATGCAGGCTTTATATGAAAAATAGTTTGCACAACATTCTAGCCAAATGCTGCCCATAACAGTCGGGAATTGATGAACATATAAAAATCAATATGGGATAACTATTTACACTACAACAAGGCAACCTACAGATCATGCACTTTTAGTTGCAAAGTTGTTCCTCAGATCAGAACCAAGAATCCAGCAACATCTAGTCTCAGTACAGTATCTGCTTAAAGAATTGGACTAAATCCAAGCTCATAATAAAATTAAAACTGTTTTGGTTACACAATGTTATTAAGTATGTCTGACTCTCATTCAAAAAAGTCACTTAAGGTTTGATGGTTAGGAAACAATTTCTGGTTATGGGTCCTGTGGGAAGGACCTTTTTAACAAAGTTCCACTTTTAACAGCAAAATAAATAGATAAATAAAGGGTGAACAAGAGAATGAAAGGAATGTTCCAGGTTAGGCTTTCAGCATGTGCTTGTTGTAAAAAAACAATAGTAATACTTATGGAGAATTAATTTTTACATAGTAGATCATTAAAAATCATTCTGGTGTGGAGGATACAAAATAGCAATAAGGCAAGTGAGTAACACATGCAATATATTCCAAGCTTCCACATACAATACAAGAAGCAGAGTGGCTGGGGCAACCCAGTCAGATATGTGGCATATAAATAATAATTTCATTATTATTTTATTATTACAAGCATAGAATTACACAAGCACAACTGTGCTGCCCCCAAAGCAGAATGTGTGACGCAAGGGAAGAGCTCTGGGATAACAATTTAGCGCTCACAATGGGGATCTCCCTAAGTCTTGCAAGGCAGCTCTTCCCTCTACTGGGGTCCCTGCGCAAAAAGCTGTGCCTTTCGCTTCCTCTTCCTCATTTTTGTGGCCAAGTGCTTGAGAAATCACAGTTGCTCAGGCCTCACCTGGCCCAACCGCCCAAATGTTGCAGCTCTGCCTTCTCAAGGCAGCTAAAACCCTACAGCCATTGACCGCCACAGGATCCTCAGCTACTCTGCAGAAAACATGTCTAAATTTCTTAATGCCAATAATCTAATAATACAAAGAACTGCAGAGATTATTTGTTTAGGGGCATTCTGCTACTGTGCATTGTGCTGGTAATAGGAACTACCAAGGTTTGAGATGAACAGGATGCTGCCGTTAGTTATCTTGGGACACAGAAAATTCAACATCCTTCAAAAGGCAAAAACAGTCTGTAACAACCTCTTCCCCTTTTTCTGCACAATAAACTATTAAGGCATAACCCCCAAAGCTAGCAATCACATAACTAAAGTTTTGCATGTTTCCACACAGTGTGTCTGGGAGGGAGGGAAGAGAAATATCTCCTCAAATTTACACCTCTTAAAACCTTCCTTGGTAGGCTAAACAACACCATTCATGCATACAGGGAGAATCTGACAAACCTGACTAAATTTTTGTATTCTCGGGGCCCCTCAACAGAACTCATAGCTGCTTTGTCCCCATCTGCCTTTGATGGACACTGCTCAGAATAGTGTCCTGGGATCCTTCCTTGTCAATACAGGGTATTTTGCTAATCTTCTATTTTAATGCAACCTACCATCTCTGATTGTCTTTACTCTTGAATCATTTAATAAATATATTAAATTTAAAGCCTAGAGTTTAGTCATGAGGCTCCACTTTAGGAGCCTTATACACTATTTTGCTGATGCTACTGAATAGCACTAAAGAGCCTACTTAGGTCTATCTCCCATTTATGATGCTGTTACATTTACGTCACCCATATAATCAGATTAACATATTTAAAAAGTATTCTAATAAAATCCCACACCTATATTCTTCTGTTCTCAGAAAGCATACAACTTTAGCCAAGGAATATACTCTTCCCCTAAAAACAGTAGTGAATTTCACTCCAACATAGTTTTTCTAGTATAGACCTCCGTTGGTAGACTAGAGGTATTTTTACATTTAGAAAGGCCGTAACACATATGCTCACTGGTAAGTATGTTGTTAGCTGGTTTTAACAAGTATTTTGATTCACCTGCTTGTTTTTAAGTGTTTTTTAAAAACTTTTAATGCTGTTTGACTGTATTTTTAATATTTTGTTGCACTTGTATTACTGTTAACTTGTGGAAAGGAGGGGCATAAAATTAACAAATAAATCAATCTCTGAGATTCAGAACATTGAGACTGTCCCACCTAAGTACATCATGGGCTCATAGCACAGAAGACATTTATATGACCTAGAAGTTCCAACAGTGACAGTGAAAGCAGGAAGCTCCCTTGAACCTCAACAAGATGACCACTGTCCATTTGTGTTGAGAAGCAGCATTAAATATGCCTGGAGGTGTTGTGGACTATTTGCCCTAAACTTCAACCCAAATCTTCATGAGGAAGAGGGGCAAATGCGTCACTCCCAAAGGAAATGTCAGCTCTAAGACTTGTTAAGCAATTGCCCTCAAGATCTGGGTACATAATCAACGTCCTGCACACTTCCCCTTCTTCCTCTTGTGATAGAATATACCAATGCAACGGGCCCTCGGTCATTATAACTAAGTGCCACGTCTCTACAAGAAAAGGGTTTCTGTCTGGTTTAGAGATGCTAGCAACTGATTAATGAAGAGACTGAGTTCCATCTCCAAGAAGTGGAAAGTGAACAAGCAGGGGTGCATGGACCAATAGAGTAGGGAACAATAAGACTTAACACTGGCTTTGAGGAACCACACAGCACAGAAAGAGTATTAGCTAAGTGAGGGAATGATAAAGACCAAATTTAGTACTCCCTTGCCTCTTGTACAGAAAATTCAGTGTACAGATGGTGGAATCCCTCATGGATGTCTCATATGAATAGGGAACAATGGTGTTAATTTCCACCTGAAGCAGAAAGGAGAATCAACTGCAGTGTCTGTGTTTCTTCCTTTCCCCTCTCTGTTTACTGGCTGGGAACAGTTGGTTGTGCCCGTGCCCTCTCAATGTCAGGTGTGTATAGGCTACAGTGTGGAGAATTTGGGCCCTCTCCTAAATAAAATCCCAGTAACTGCACATCTCTATCTGCTGTGGAAGACAGCAAAGCACTTCTTTCATGAAGAGACTCATAAGACTTCTGTCATAGCCAACCAGTCCTCTTCTATGATCCTGTTTTTCTTGTGTCTCATTCTGGATTATAAAATTTCCTTTGGGTGGGCAATTGTGATTTCAGCACTGCTCAAATGCAAACACTTCTGGGAAGGAATGCAACAACTGGCATTCATTAGTAATTTTAGGAACTGACTCCCTTGGGATTAAATGTTCTCTCTCAGTCCAGAAGACCTCAAAACACTTGGCAAAGCAGATACCCCTGGCCCTTGCTCAACATTACCCTTTTAAATGGATCGTACAAGAGATGGATGAGAAAGTAGAGAAGAGGCATACCAGGAGCACCAAACAGGGACTATCACACTTACCCACAGGGAGCTTGCTCTCAAAGCAGGCTTCAAACATGTCGTAATCCTCCGTGGTGAAAGCAAATTTGCCCTTAGTTGCATCCTCCTTGACATAGAGAATATGCCCAGCTGAGTCAGTAATCTGTAGGAAATACGAAAAATAAGAGAGGCAAAGTAGTTAACATCCAAGTTCTATGTTAAATTTTATGGGAGGGGGAGGAAGAGAAGACAAAGATCTTCCTAGAACACTTGGGCAATTGACTTCTGTGCTTTCCTTGTCCCCACCATAGGTTGTCCCCACCGTAGGTGAAGAGATTTTTGCTAAAATTTTAATTTCAAATTCATTTATACTGTCTCCATTATTAGCCTCTGGCATGTTAAGTTGAAGACATTCCCATAAAACCATCCACTAAAAACAAAAGCCAGAAGATGATGTGGGAATGGGGGGGGGGGATGAACTCATTCACTTTACAAAACATACATTATCAGCAGCTCTGAGTAGGACAAGATTTGGGTTTACAGTGACCAGACAAATAATTGCATAATTTATAATTGCGTAACTAATAGCTCTAGGAGACAGCACATTTGTATGCTCCCCCACTGCCAAAGGAGCAAACATAAAATAAAGCAAGCTTTAAAGGCCCCATGAGAGCATGTTAAAAGCCATGTGAGGCCTTGTTTACTGCAGTAATAGCTTCTCCTTAAACATGGTTCTTCCATAAAGAAGTGACTGATGCATGCACACACAAACTAGTTCCTTTCCACCATTAGATGGGCCACGTCCAAAAATATATTATGCCAGCTCTACTTTTCTCTTCATCTGGCACAACAAGATAGGCCTACATACTGCCAGGCACGTTGCCCTAAGTATACCTAGTATGGGCAAACTGCTTAAAAGTCAGCCTACACAATTGTGGGGGAGCAGCCATTCAGGGAGGGGGAAATGTTCCACCACAATACTCTGGCATTATGCACAGTAACATCATCATCCTTCACAAACACAGCTTTTCTCCCCATACTGCCAGCCTGAACAATAAGCACCCACACGAGACTGAGATCAAGTAGGATGAGAGCCATTAAAGAACCTCCACTACGTAACCAACTAGCACATTGGGTACATTCTTCCAGAACGGAAAGCCTAACTGTTAATTATGGGATGTCATGATCAGAGAGCAAGCAACACAGTGATGAGCTATTAAAACACGTGAAAATGGCATGACAAAGAATCACTGTTAACTGCAAATGATAAATACTAGTCAACAGCTGATCTGAGACTAAGGTCTTCAAGCAGAATTTTGTCTCTGGAAAATAAACTAATGTGTGATCATTAATAACTTGTCTAGCCAACCATCGGGCATGTCATCTTATATTGCCCATTATACCGAGACTCAAGAAAAGAGCTGATCGAGCCGATTCTGAGGAAAATACCTTGTAGTACAGACGATACCTATATCAGACACCTCTTAGCTGACAAAGAGCCCGAAATCAACAGGCCTGTGGCAAAGTACTGTTACATTGCAACAAGAATAAGACAAGCAATGATGTCAGCAACGGAGTTCAAATAGTAAACATCGAAGGAACGATAATAAACAGTAGTGACATTTGAATTGAATCCTTAAAACCTTAAAAGTCGAAACCTGGTCATAAACATAAGCACCAATTCTGTGATTTGGCCATATTTCCACTGTTACCTGTAGCACAATATTACTTATAATGTCATATTTTATTTTATAAATTGCTTGCTGGTCATTGACCGTATTAAAGATATTTGATTTTGAACTTGTCTAGCCTGACAAGTTAAGTTGTTAATGTGAGCAGCTGGTAAAAAAACCCCCGACTTTAAAACTTTTTATTCTGGATGAGCAGAGCAGGCCCATGCAGACGTGGGGGGAGCCAGGTACACCTGCCCCAGGCCTTGAAGGGGTAAGCAAGCTGGGGGTCCCCACCAGAGACCAACTGCTTTTTTGCTTGAATTTATAACTTTATTCTAACAAGACTCCCACCCCAGGCCTCAGAGATCTTTACATGCCTGGAGCAGAGGATATTTGTTCTGTAGTTATTTCATCAATTGCCAAAGTCAGGACCCAACAAAGGCTGCTGGCATATAACACCCTATTACATCAGTGTGGCCTTCTGGGGGAAGGAATGCTTAATGTACAATCTCAAACTAAGTTAAGACTTCATTGACCAGCATGCTAGACCACTCCTGGATAATGAGGTAATTAATGCTAAGTGATGGTTTGTTTAGTCAAATTGTGGTTTGTTTTGATGTCTGAACCCAGTCCAGTGTATTAATGGTGGTTTGTTTGCTAGCCATAAACTATGTGAAGCCATGGTTTGTCTTATGAAACATGGCGTGTTTCAACTCCTTTGGCACAATGGGTGAGTGCGTGTGGCTGTTAACCAGATGGATTGTGGTTCGAGCCTACCCAGGGCAGACTGTGGGCAAAATTTCTGCATTGCAGGGCATTGCACTCGATGGCCCTTGGGGTCCCTTCCAACTCTACAATTCTATGATTCTAACTATATTTTGGTCTATATTATGTCTAAACCCAACAGCTTTGCTTCACCATTAATTGTTTGCCAACCCCACTCCAAGCTACAGAGCCTCAAGGCAAGAATAGTTGGAAAACAAACCAAGCTTTGGAGAAACAAGTCATGGCTGATTTGCTAATTTACAGGACAATTCATGCTTTGTAGCATTTATGGGTGAAAGCAGCCATTGTGCAGTAGCATCCAACTCCCACCCACCCAACCCGCAAGTACATGTGTAGTGCTGCACTTCTGAAAAATGTACCGTATTTTTCGCCCCATAGGACGCACTTTTCCCCCTCCAAAAATGAAGGGGAAATGTGTGTGCGTCCTATGGGGCGAATGCAGGCTTTCGCTGAAGCCTGGAGAGTGAGAGGGGTCGGTGCACACCGATGCCTCTAGCTCTCCAGGCTTCAGGAAGCTATCCGCAAGCCTTGCAAGCCCGGCGGGAGTTCCCGCGAAAGGGAGGGAGGAGGAATGTGATGATGGTCTTTAAATATATTGAAGGGCTGTCATGAAAAGATGAAGAATACTTTTCTTTTCTGTTGCTTCACAGGGCAGGATTAAAAGGAATAGGTGAAAATTCCATGGAAGCAAATTTCAGCTAACTTCCATACACTAAGAGCTTTAAAAGATTTGTATTAGACAAATTCATGGAAAACAAGGCTAACAACAACTACAAGCCATGGTTGGCCATGTTTTACCTCTACTGTCAGAGGCATTATGCCTGTGAATATCAGTTGCTGGGAATTATGGGTGAGTAGAGTGCTGTTGTGTTCGAGTCTAGCTTGCAGGTTTCTCACAGGCATCTGGTCAGTCACTGTGAGATAAGGATGCTGGACTAGCTGGGCCACTGGTCTGACCCAACAGACTCATCTTATGTTATTTGTTGTTATAAAAGGGAACAGACTACCTCAGATGGGCTCTCTTTCACTGGGATAGTTAAACAGAGGGTGGAGAGCTATCTGTCAGGGATGCTGTAGTTACACCTTATGTAACAGAACCTGCACTAAACAGGGGCTGGGTGAGATCACCTTCAGGGTGCCTTCCAACACGTATTTATTTATTACATTTATATACCACCTTTATCTTCCAAGCTCAAGGTGGTATACATGGTTCTCCTCCCCATTTCATCCTCACAACAACCCTGTGAGGTAGGTTAGGCTAAGAGATGGTGATTGGCTCAAGGTTATCCACTGAGCTTTATGTCTGAATGGGGATTCGAACCCTGGTCTCCCAGGTCATAGTCTAACCATTACGCCAACCTGTCCCTAATTTCCTCTAAATTAGACTACTATGATGAAGGAAGGGAATATTAGAAACCAATAATGGTTTTTTGTGTGACAGGAAAGCTGTGGAACGAAAACAAATTCCAGGGTTACATCCTCTTCATTTATTTCAAAAGTACATTGCCTCTTTAGCCACTATTTTGCACCTGGCTTTGGTTGGTGGATGTTAGTATTCTAGTAATAAAGCAAAGGAGATCCTGCCAGCATGAAATCTACCCACCACTAATATACAGAAACCTGGGCCACAGGCCTTTCTGCTTGTTTTATGCATGCTGACTCAGACATAAATAAGTCCCACAACTTCAGTGTGATTTATTCCAGAGGAAGGGTGGTTAGGAATGCAGTCTCTGTTGCATGTAACAGACCGTGTATCCCAAAACTGACACGTCACTCTAGTAGTTGCAATTATTCTTCCCCAGACTGGTCATACTGCGTGGTATCCAAGACCAAAGCAAAATCCTTTTCTTGGTCAATTAGGACAGATCAACACAAGAAATAACCTGGGGTTGCTGCTGAAAACCAACAGCCATATTTCAAGGGCCCTACATTATTGGCTACTATCTAACCCTATGGGAACACACAACATACCAATAACTGAACATGGGCCAAGTTTAACTCTATTAGTACCAGGATGATTGCTCAAAATGGGGCTGCTCCATATGCTTTGTAACAAATTGTTCTGCTCTTATATTCAAAAGCAGCTGCAAAAACTAATATCAGAATGTCACAGCAGTGTTAGAAACTCAGATATAGAAGCTAGGCGCTAAATGGCACCTTAAGCCTAAGTTGTGGCCACCACAACAGAACGTCTATTTGCCAGCAGGTAGGACTAGATAACCCTCAAGGTCCCTTTGAATGGTACAATTCTATGATCTCAACTACACTGCTTGACTATAGCTTACTCTTACCACAATTTACTTGTCCCAGTATGTGAGGAGAAACATACACAGTGGAAATGGTATTAACTATGTACTAAGGCAGAGGTTTTTTTAATTGTGGTCAGTGAGTTCCATTTGTGTGGCCTGTGGAAAAGCTGTGGGACAGTCAGATATATCTGTACTCAGCCCTGCACTTACTTTCCTTGATGTGACAATGGAGGACTAAGATGCCCAGCAAGGGGTCCATGATTCACGCAGCAGTGCAGAAGCACAAGACGTGTCTTTTGCTGCGCCTGAATCAGCAGGCTCGATGGAGATGCCAGTTACCAACCTGGCAAGAAATCTCCACCACATTGTTGCAACTGGACTCGCCCCAATAGCAAAACGGACCTGGCGCCTGGGGAATATTGAACAGCGTGTCACAGAGCCCTGACTTTTCACAGCATGGGGATACACTTGTCTTGGTAGCATCACTGCTGTCATGAAAACTACAAACTGTTGCACCATTTCATCACTGGAATTCATAGCCTAACAACCACTCTCTGTTTTCTGTTTCATGGTGGCGGGTGGGAATGCTTTCCTCCTCTTGAAACTTGGGATGGAGTTCTTCAGTCCACTTCTTATTCTGAGGATGCAACAGCCCCCCCTGACTATGGGCTGCATGCTCAAAAGCAAAGGACTACTGTACTAAGGAGGAACTAGCACCTTAGAGACTACTGGAAGAAAGTTTATTTTATTTTATTTTGTTTCGACTATGGCAGACCAACACGGCTACCTACCTGTAACTTGTACTAAGGAGGGCAAAACTCTGCGAGGGCGGGGGTGGGGAAGAGATGGGAAGTTAAAAGAGCTGTCGTGGGTACGAAGCACGGAAGAGTGTTTCCTCAAGAGAGCAGAGGAGGGCCCGGAGCTGAGGCCTAGTTCCGCCTTCCGGCCTTATCAGGAGAGCCGCGCAAAGCTGACGTGTCCTTACAAGGGAAGGGCCTGGAAGGCAGCAGAGCCGCCGGTAGCGCCCCAAGGCCTACGCAACGCCTCCGCCCGCGGCTCCCCGCCCTCTCACGGCGCGCTGTGAATAACACGGGCGGGGGGTGGGGGCGCTGCCTGCCTGCCTATTCTGGGTCAGCCTCCCGGTGTCCCTCCCGCGCGAAGCCCCCGCTTCCCCTCTGCACCTTGAGGTTGGCGGACGGGCCGCTCGACGAGCCCGGCGGAGCGACGACCTCGTACTCGCCGGTGACGAGCATGTCTCGGTGGATCTCCTCGCGCAGGCATTTGCGGGCCTTGCCCGGCAGCTGGAAGGAGATGGGCCGCGCGGGGCCCGGCAGAAGGGCCAGCAGGAGGAGGGCGAGGAGGGGCGGGAGCGAGGACGGCCTCGGCGGGGAACGGCCGCCGGGGAGCGGCAACGGCAACGGCAGCAGCATGGCGCGAGCACGTCCGAGCGACACAAGGCCGGGCTTTCTGCCTCCGCCCCCCCCTCGCGCCGCTGCCGGCTCCAGGCACGTGACCCGCTGCCGCTTACGTGACGGGAGGGAGGAGGAGGAGGAGGCCGCTGCGCGCCCAGCGAGGCAGTAGGGAGAAGCCTTAGCGGGCCCGGCCTGGAGAAGCAGGGGGAGCTATTGGCTCCGAGATACTGAGGCTTAAATTGAACCCCAGGAGCACCGTTTTCAGCGTCATTTCAGGGCTGGGGCGCGAAGAGTCAGCCTGAGGAGGGGAGCTGCCTCAGTATACGCAGTGTACCTTGTTGTCGTTTAGTCGTGTCCGACTCTTCGTGACCCCATGGACCAGAGCACGCCAGGCACTCCTATCTTCTACTGCTTCTCGCAGCTTGGTCAAACTCATGTTCGTAGCTTCGAGAACACTGTCCAACCATCTCATCCTCTGTCGTCCCCTTCTCCTTGTGCCCTCCATCTTTCCCAACATCAGTCTTTTTCCAGGGAGTCTTCTCTTCTCATGAGGTGGCCAAAGTATTGGAGTCTCAGCTTCAGGATCTGTCCTTCCAGTGAGCACTCAGGGCTGATTTCCTTAAGAATGGATACATTTGATCTTCTTGCAGTCCGTGGGACTCTCAGGAGTCTCCTCCAACACCATAATTCAAAAGCATCAATTCTTCAGCGATCAGCCTTCTTTATGGTCCAGCTCTCACTTCCATACATCACTACTGGGAAAACCATGGCTTTAACTATACGGACCTTTGTTGGCAAGGTGATGTTTCTGCTTTTTAAGATGCTGTCTAGGTTTGTCATCGCCTTTCTCCCAAGAAGCAGGCGTCTTTTAATTTCGTTACTGCTGTCACTATCTGCAGTTCTCATGGAGCCCAAGAAAGTAAAACCTCTCACTGCCTCCATTTCTTCCCCTTCTATTTGCCAGGAGGTGATGGGCCCAGTGGCCATGATCTTCGTTTTTTTGATGTTGAGCTTCAGACCATATTTTGTGCTCTTCTCTTTCACCCTCATTAAAAGGTTCTTTAATTCCTCCTCACTTTCTGCCATCAAGGTTGTGTCATCTGCATATAAATGTACCTTATATGTGGCCTTTTCTTGCTACAGGATTAAGCCAAGGTTGGATGGCCATCGGCCATGGATGATTTAGCTGAGATTCCTTCCAGGGTTGGACAAGATGACACACGGGACCCCTTCCCAACTCTATGATGCTATCTATGAATGTTGCCTCTGTATTTGGGGTATATGCAGCTAGATCAAAGCTGGTAGGTGGGTGGGTGGCTGAATCTGCCTGTGTTGGTGCTGTAAGATGCTGCTCCTTACTCACTCACCTGAAATGAAGTCTTACTTAAAGCAACAGGATTACTTTCTACTGGATGGGTTTAGGATCAGCATGCCTAGTTTGTCTCTGCATACCAGCTGCTGGCAAATCAAACGTAGGACAAGTGTTGTTATTGCTGCTTATTCTTTCTTCTTCTTTGGCCATCACTTGTAGCCGAGTAAGATTGTCTTCCATAAACACGGTTTGAACAATGAGACCGTAAGTGACTGTGGAGGCCAATTCTGGATCCACACGTCCTTCCACAGTGGGGACATTGGTTTCCAGGCAGGAGTTGATCACAGTGTGAATTTGCCAAGCATGCCTTCGTCTTGGCACGTTTCTCCCTTGTGTCCTGAGTTTGAGTGTCTTTTAGTACTTCTGTTAAATGGAACATTAACTAAAATACTAGGTAAGTAGCCTGGAAGCTGCATAGGCACACATTATAGTTTGTGCCACCATTGGAAAGGAAATGGCATCTGTTGAAGTCAAGGGATTGCCAGTTTGTGTTCTAGAAAAAGCAGCCCCTGTTTAACAACACCTGCCTAGTGTTGCAGACCACTAACATACACAAACCTAGCTTTTAAGAGTCCTGCCTGCCATAACAGGCAGAAGGCTGTGTGAGAAGAGGACTCCATAACACCAAGACTGAAGTCAATATGCTTGATTAACATCTTCCTTAGCAGTCTTTCTGTGAAGAGCTTGTTCCATAAAGTCGGTGCCACACACTACTGATTCTTATCCCCATCTTATGTTTTTAATGTGACATAGCATATCAGTATACTTCTTTTGCATCTAGTAGCCTCTGATTTTGCATAAGCAGTACCCACTCCTTGCACGTATGTCTTTTTTTAAAGCTAAGTTAAGCCAACATTCAGAAGAAGAAAACTATTAAGATAGTGTTGGCAAACGTATGTCTCTGTATAGCTTTTATCAATAAAGTGTGAAATTCTGCATTGACCCTGGGACGATTAATGCACAATCTAAGTGTGCAGATTATATATATGTAATAGAAAAACCAATTTCAGGCTTGTACATGGCCTTTGACCATGCATAGAACCTTTAATGTAAACAGATAACTGGGATCCATGTGCCTAAATACAAGTGCAGGCCCTGCTCATAAAACCCAGGCACACTTTTTCATGGTATAGGAATATTGTGCAAGCCCAAATTTATGTGCCCCACCATGTGTATAACCAGACACCAGGACTGCATGTGAACTGCACTTTGCACTGGTTTAAAGGTCCATGTATGGAAGCATGCTTTCAGTTAAGGTACTGTATATCTCTCTTAGTAAGTTTATTTGTTGTTCTAGGCTTGGCACAAGGAGTTTAAAAAAAGTCATAGTTGTCCAATCGTACAAAGTGTATGTGCATATGACAGGAGATATGTATATGTGCAGCCAGAAATCATCTTTGAAGTTTCTGTTCATGGCCAAACTGGCAAATTGCTATTCAGCTTAAAATAAGCTTGCTTATTCAGCCATGTTAACTTCAAAGACACCACCAGCTGCATATGCACATGGCTTTGTAGGATGTTGGCCAAAATCAACTAAAAGTGAACATGAAAATAATTTCTGTATTGAAGCAAACTACCATCACTCCATTTCCTGCACCTGGTGCAAGGTTAAATTGGTTTTGATAGGGAAATGAACATGGCAGAATCTGGTCTGAAAGATACATATTAGGTCAGAAAGAGAAGTGCAGAACTCGACACAACTGAGGATCGAACAATTCTTCTGATTAGGTTTCATGTTACACATTTTGCAGCCTGTCTCCACTGAAGATGCTACAAATGACTGAATAAGTAGTCATTCATGCTTTTGCTGCTCTTGAGCTAACAAAGGTCATGGTTTCATTTTTATAATAATTTGTGCTCTCAGGACTTGGGACAATCTTAATACGGCACATGAAGAGAGAGAACATGTTCCAGCTCTCATGCTCCCATCTGTCAGTCTCCTCATTCAAGGCTTCTGAAAAGGAACACCACAGTTCAGATGGGCTAGCTGCAGTAGTAGTCAATATGGGAGACTAAATTATTTCACTCTCAGGAACTGAGAATAAATAATAAAATTGCCTCCCTAAGAAGGAAGGATCAGAATACAGGCAATTTATGACTTCATTACAAAACAAAAACAAAAAACAAGCCACAAAAACCTCTCGAAACCTTTATATAGAAAATTTACAGATTGAGAGAAAAGCAGGACCAAAATTTAAGAACTCCAATACACAGGTCTGTTGTTCCCTCAGGCCTGTTTCCAGAATTTTAACACAAAAGATCCCAAGCTCACTTATTCTAGCATTAACCTATAACTAGATTACTTCTAAGGGGTATGTAAAGGACTGGTCCTCAACTGGTGGGTGGGGATTTACCCCTGAGAATAAGCACAACTGAACTCAGTAGGATTTACTTTGGAATGGACATGTCTGGGATTGTGCTGTCAGACATGTTGCTTGGCTATTACAGTGGTACCTTAGTTCTAAAACTTAATCTGTCCCGGAAGTCCGTTCTAAAACCAAAGCGTTCCAAAACCAAGGTGCACTTTCCCATGGAAAGTAATGCAAAATGGATTAATCTGTTCCAGACTTCTAAAAACAAACCCTAAAACAACAATTTAACATGAATTTTACTATCTAACAAGACTATTGATCCATAAAATGAAAACAATAAACAATGTACTGCAGTCACCAAATCAATCAGTAGCTGAACTGGGTTCCACACAGTCACAAAAACCAAAAAAAGAGCCGCAAAAACACAAGCACAAAATAAATAGCAAAAACAGACAGACCTCAGCGTGACACTCAAAATGGAAGTGTGGCACTCAAAATGGAAGCATAACAAAATGGAAGTGTGCCACTCAAAACGGAAGCATAACACTCAAAATGAAGCACGTTCGGCTTCCAAAAAAAGTTCACAAACTGGAACACTTCCGGGTTTGCAAAGTTTGGGTTCCAAGTTGTTCGAATACCAAGGCATTTGAGAACCAATGTACCACTGTACAATAAATGGAACCCCATCACTTGGATGTTTACTTGGCTGCAGAAAACTTGGCTGATCCATTAGAGAAAATGGAACACTGCCAAACCAGTCTTGATTCCTACAAGGCCACACGCCTGCCTTCTTGCTTGCAAGTGGTAGGAGAAAATGTTTGGGAACCACTGGCCTAGACAATGGAGCAAATACAATACTTCAAAATCAGGACATCTTAATGCCTTAAGATTCCCTAGCGCTATATGTCTGTTGTGGGGCAAGGGGTTGAAGGAAGGGGGAAGTTGGCTTGATAAAGACTGAGTCAGCATGAGACCAGTGTGCAAAAAGGTAGGAATGGGAAGCACTGAATGAGCACAGGAAGTCCCCTTTCCTCCCAGCACAAGAGGAAGGCACTTGTCCTGGTCCCCCACCCCACCAAAAAAAGCAGACTGGCACATGGAGTGAGGCAGTATTAATATCTTTTCTAAAGTAAGACTTCTGCAGGATTTGGTGCCTCATCCAGACCACAATAAGTGTGACTTAGACCAGATGTGGGTACTTCTGCATTCTGAAGTTCCGTAAGAAGGGCTAGACTCACCAGCTTGGTTGGTTTGAGGTTCAAAATGCCCTCAAGGACATGGAAAAAAAGGAACTTGCTGTTAATATGGCACCATGGATTAAAGCCATCAAAAACATTTTGCAAAGGAGGCATGTTAGGCAGTAAGGTGGTTTGACACAGGAAAATGG